TACTTCGTTTGGATGACATAGTAGAGTGTTAAGATTAATCATATTCGTTATTGTAAACCGCGCTTAAGTTAGGCGCCATCTGTTCATTTCTTTTGTATGTCCGACGATCAAAAGACCGCTTGAGATCGAGTCTGTTTATAATTTGAAAGGTAATCTTGTCAGTTGTATATACAAAAAGTAAATTGTTTACAAAATGAGTCTTTGTTTATTATCTGATAAATGTATACTTTTTTCGTCAATTGTTCAAGATTGCAGATGCCTTTTGTGTAAAATCCAAGTCGGATGTATGTAAGCTAATAAATGTTCTCGTTAATCTTATCTCGCTTTTTGGTTCGTTCACGGTTACAAGAAATCACCACATAGAGTCTCTCGAGTCTCCATAGATATAACAAACAGAAATAAATTACACAAAATAAATTGTAGCTATGCATCGATTCCGCGCGACACATCCGAACATGTAAGCCGAACAATAGTGTGGGGAGAGAGAGTAATCAAGGGTTGCATGGCGCTCAAACAAAAGACGAATCGACGAGATTTGAAAATCGCGTAACTCTGGGTTTGCGTAAGTTGGGGTATGACTGTACATGATTTATATTTTGGTTCTTGCACTAGAAAAATCATTTTAATTGAATTTCTTTAATGAAGAATTTTTATAACAGAGACATGTTAAAATATGAGAATAATGAATTTAATCATGATTTACTTTTTTGGTTCTAATATTTAATTAAATTGACTATAATTTATCACCATTATTACAAATATTGTTTTCAGAAAATTTTGACACTTTCTGTATATTGTAACTGAGCCAAAATCAATTGCCAAACATAAGCATAAACTGTTAAATTATTTTTGGACTATGTTAAATCTAATTTAATTAAATAATTATTGAAATTTTACTTAAAGGAAAACAGTCATGCAGCCATCTTCTATATAGGTTTATAATTAGAAATTAATTTTGAACTATTTAAATAATTGTTAAAAATTTTGGAAGAAAAGAATTTTAGTTTTGTTAAGCTTTAATATAGCCAAAAAAGATTTGTGTTTTAATAGTTCAGTTTAGGTTTATGTTAGATACTTTTTCTACAAAATTAATTCTTTTTCCCTTGCAGTATGTATACTTAAAATAAATTCAAAATCAAAAACTAAAATCAAATTCTTCATAAATTTGATTTTAGTGTGTAATATAAATTTTGTAATTTAACTTAGTGTCTTTGTAAATCTTAACAAACTGATCAGTTTTCAATTTCATATAATTTTAATGAGTAATGACATAAGGTATATAATTCATGTATGTACATAGATATTTTGGCATGCTTCATATGCATATTTTATAGTAAATATTATGGAGAAATGATTCCATATTAAGTATGTAGATTAAATATTGTATATAATTACTTTATCTTAGAATTGCATTTAAATTGATTATTTTTGCTATTGAATTTATAAAAAGCAAATTGTTCATTTTGCAGGTTCGAGATGATGAATTAGGCGAATTGGACAAATTAGAGTATAATGGTTGTTGGTGTAAAGTACGCGGTGGTAGCGAAAATACACATGGAAAAGTAAATATTCTGCTTCAGTCATACATATCAAGAGCTCGTCTAGAAGGATTTTCTCTAATTTCTGATCAAGCGTACGTAGTTCAGGTAAATTTGAGAAAATTTTAAAATTTATATTAATATTTACTTGGTATAAGTGTGTTAATTTCAAACAGTCTGTGAAAAATTAATTTATTATATTTTATCATTAATTTGTTTCTTCTAACTATTATTTGTTATTGTTACTTCTAGTTTAGTTTTTATCTTGTTAATTTCTTACTGTAAATTACTACTTAGACTAAATTAGACTATATGTAAATTAGACTATATGAAAACTGATTCCAGGAGATTCTAGAAGTTATTCTATCACATTACAGGAATTCTTTGATTTAATTTATTTGAAACATTCCATGAAAATAGTGCACTAGTTTAAGTCATTTTAATAAAATCAGTATAAATTTAATAAATTCCAAGATTTTTAAATTGTTTGCAAATTTTTTTATTGACATGTGACAATGGTTGATAAGAAAGCCAATGGCAAAGGCCATTGGGGCCTTTCTATCTAATGAAATATACATGCTAATTTATTTATTATAAAAATATTTCTGGAAATTTCTTTTATAAAATATTAAAATTGTCAAAAGACAAGTTTAAAAAAAAAATGGTCAGAATTAGCTGTAAGAATTCAAGATTTTCTATAGCAAAGTATTAATAATTTCCATGCATTCGGTTTAGAGAAATTTGACCGGATGGCAGCTCTGTTTGTTTCAAGTGCATTATCATTCAAGTCTTTTATCGAATTTATGCCAGTAGCTTAAAATTGTAAATTTATCCACAGGAATAACACCGCATTAATTTAATTTCTATTTGTGTTATTTAAAACTCATTATCAATTTTCATAAATTTTTAAAAAGGTTATAAATTTTTAAAGCTGTTTCAGAGGAATATTTATGCCATATTTATTTCAGAAAATAAATAATGTGTTTGTTTGTGCACATTATCAATACATTAGTATTAGTACTTGCAGTACCAGACCAAAATTCAATATCAGTATTGTGATAATAGTTTTTAATAATATTGGCATATTGAAAATGCCCCAAGAAGGATTATTAGAAGATTAAGGAAAAAAGGCATTAATGAAGATAAATAATTATTGGTTATAAAATTATCATACAAAGAATAGAAAAAATATTAGTTATATTCATTTAAAATATTATTTAAAATTTCTGTTGTAAATGAGTGAGTATTAAAATTAGTTTTCATTTTAATTTTGGTCTAATTTTTTTAACTTGCTTATTACTACTTATTTCAGCAAAAATATATACTGTTTGCTGTAGCTTGAAGATTTAAGTTTTTCAAATGCTTCCAGCACATTTTGAATTAAAATTTTGTCAGTTTGCACATATTACAGAAATATTTATATACAGTAATACCCCAAACTTACGCGATAGGTGGGACCGAGCGATAATCGCGTAAGTCGGGGTATAATTTCACAATTTGTGTAAAATCCAAGTTGGATGTATGTAAGCTAATAAATGTTCTCATTAATATTATCTCATCTTTTGATTCATTCACGGTTACAAAAAATCATCACATAGAGTCTCTCAAGTCTCTGTAGATATAACAAACACAGAAATAAATAACACAAAATAACAGCATACATGATAACATGAACAACCCAGGATATTTTCAATTAAAAATTGAATTATGACTATTTACAAAAAAATTTTTTGTATATAGTTATGTATTTTTTTTTGTTACGCAAATGAACTTTATGATTACCCAAAATTGCCACCAGAGGATGTGAACCAGTTATATATTGTGCTAAAGAACATGGTAGTTATGTTCAGAAATTGTAACCATTGTTTTAATGTTAAAGGACGCCGAATCCTCAAATGAAAGGTCAGCGTTTCGATCATTTTTAACTTTGTGTGTTTTTCGTTATAATTTATCACGTGTTCTGTGGAAGTTCATCCAAGCTAATATACTGTTACTTCTGTGGTGTGTTAAAAGGATGAAAGATAGACTCGAAAAATTAAAAAGTTTTTTGTAAATAGTTATAATTCAATTTTTAACACAAAATAAATTGTAGCTATGTGTCGATTCCGTGCAACACGTCTGAACATGTAAGCTGAACAATAGTGTGGGGGGAATGAGTAATCAAGAGTTGTGTGGCACTCAAACAAAAGATGAATTGACGAGATTTGAAAATCACATAACTCCAGGTTTGAGTAAATTGGGGTAGCATAAGTCGAGGTATTACTGTATATGTTTATGCATTTAATTTCTATTTATTTCTATTTAAGATTATGATAATAGTGATGCTTCTGGTTTTATTAAAATCGCCACCCAATTGGATATTATAACTTGTCAAATTAAACATTTTAAATAAAAATTTTTCATTCATTAAACTCGATTTTCCCACTATAACCCTAATAAAATGTATATTATGCCACATCTGGAAACTTCTCTTATTTTGTGAAATAGACAAAATTTTGTGTATAAAATCATTGTGTTAATTGCCAGTCTCAAAATTTTACAAATATTTTGTCTATTTTATGAAATGGGCAAACATTCCCAGATTTGGTGTAATGTTCATACATAAAAGCATGCATAACCAAGGATAGATATATCTAAATTAAATATGTCCAGAAGCGAGGGATTGGACGGAGGTAGCGTAAATGGCAATGCATCTGCACAGTAAGCGGCAGTTGCAGGTTTGAGTCCTGCTCTGGGACGATTCTTTTCATATAGAATATTCTAAATTATTTAATAAGTATTAATTAATTATAATTATTAAATTTAATAAGGGACAGTGCCTAACACATATCTCTAGTGCCAAATTACTTGGGACTTAATTATTAATGGTAGCAGTGAAGTAGCCCGATTTTAAGCTGGTAATCATTATAAAATATTGGACTTTAAGATATTTATATACATATGTAAAGGCAGCTTAAAATATTACAGTAATCAGAAAACTTTGCTAATAACATTGATTATTTTGTAAGGTAGAATTCTAACAAAATTCATATTTTCTCCTTTGAACATATTTAGAAAGATGATCTCTTTTATCATATTGTTGAAAACTATTGTGCAATAATAATAATAATAATAATAATAATGCACTTGGAAATGGAGATGTTATTGAATCCATGGAAGAGGGCGAGTTCTACAAGTATTTAGGATTCCAACAGGCCAAGCTAACAGAACATACACAAATAAAGCAAAGATTAATTAAAGAATACCAAAGTAGGTTAAATGCCATTCTCAAAACACAGCTAAATGCAAAACACACAGTTAAAGCAATAAACACATATGTCATCCCAGTACTCACATACTCTTTTGGAGTTATACATTGGACTCACACAGATCTCGAGCAACTCCAAAGGAAAACAAGAACAACACTTACTAAGCATAAACAACATCATCCTAAATCCGCCACAGAAAGATTAACCCTTCCACGTAAAGAAGGCGGACGTGGCCTGATTGACATAGTTAACCTTCACTACAAACAAATACAGTCACTGCGAGAGTTTTTCTACAAGAAACAAGAAACATCACAGTTACATAAAGCAGTAACTCTAGCAGACTCAAATAACACACCATTAAACTTACACTCACAACATACAGACATGACACAACATATAAAAAGCATAGACAACATTAAGCAATCATGGGCTCAAAAGGCTCTCCATGGCAGGCATCCTTACGACCTGGCCCAGGATTTTGTTGACAAAACTGCGTCAAACAGCTGGTTAGATCGGGGATGCCTCTTTGGGGAGACGGAAGGATTCATGATTGCCATACAGGATCAGGTCATAAATACTAAAAACTACAGAAAACACATACTCAAAGATACAACACTCACAAATGACACATGCAGAAAATGTCACATCATGCCAGAAACTATACAACACATCACTTCTGGTTGCAAGCTCTTGGCACAGACAGATTACTTACATAGACACAATCAAGTAGCAAATATAATACACCAAGAGCTTGCAAAGAAACACAAATTGGCAGACATCCACGAACCATACTACAAGTATATTCCACAGACAGTATTGGAAAATAACACGCACAAAATGTATTACGACAGAGCCATAATCACAGATAAAACAATTTACCACAACAGACCAGACATCACACTCATTGACAAACACAATAAAATCACATACATTATAGACATAGCCATTCCAAACACTCACAATGTACAAAACACATGCACTGAAAAAATTAGCAAGTACACAGAACTCGCCCAGGAAATAAGGCATCTGTGGAGGATGGAGTAGTGGTGCTTATTGTACCTGTTGTTCTCTCCTGTACAGGTGTGATACCACACACACTACACAAAAGCCTGGGAACATTACAATTGAATAGAAATACATATATAACACTACAGAAAGCCACTATATTGAATACATGCCATATTGTTAGGAAATTCCTTAATACAGACACTGACACACTTATTTAATTTTAGTTTTATTTTGGTTGCTATGCCTTGACTCAGGTCCGGCATAGTACACAGCCACCGGTGTGAACAGAGTATAACCCACTAAACACAACAATAATAATAATAATAAACATGTCACCAGTTATAATGAAACAGTAAACTGATTGTAATAATTTCATTTTATACTGATCATGCATTTCTTTCCAACCTGAATACTTTCTCATTCTTACAAATTTCATGTATAATTATTTTATTTAACAAGAGGTGGAAGATGTTTTATTAACTATATGTACACTGAAAAGATAGTTTTGTTTTTGTAGCAGTGTCAGAATATAGTATTCAATAGAAATAATACCAGTACTGTAGTGTTGAATAAAATGGTCTGATATGCAGTTATTGTAAGCCCTACTCAGTTTATTGGTTTGCAATTTGAAAAAATTGTAGACCTATAAATGTCCATCTGTGTGTCTGTCCTTTCTTAATCTCGCAAATGGTGTTATATAGATGAAAGTTGAGACCAGACATGGAAATCTTAGGGCCAGGAAGCCCCGATTAACTATATATGAACTTCCAGTCTAGCACAGAAGTAATGTGATTTCAATTTAAAAATTTACCCCAGAATAGAGTTCATAGAACTCTGTTGTTATCGAGAAAAGTATGATGTACAGGGACAAGACACTAGTAATTTGAGATTGAGAGGATATATTTTAAATTAAGTAAATTTAAAATATGATTAAAAATGCAGCCAGTAGTCGTGAATATGTTAAAATAATTTTGCTCATTAGTTATTAAAAAATTATTTTAAAAAATGACTTTTTAAAATATATTTAATATTATTAATGAAATTCATTTTTAATTGGTCTTTGTTTATGAATGTTACAGTTAAATAACTTTACAGTATTTATTTTCTTTTATAGTAAGTTAATAAGTGTAAGTCTGTAATTTAATACATGTTTAAATTATCATTAATTAAATTAAATATACATTAAAATTAAAAAGTGTTCAAAACATTTTTATATTGTATATAAATTTGAATAAGATTTTTTGCTCTTTACAGAATGCTACTCGTATCATTCGTGCGTTATTTGAAATTGTTCTTCGCAAAAACTTTGCGATCATGTCGGGAAGACTTCTTCAAATTAGTAAAAGTATAGAAAAACAGTTATGGGGTTTTATGTCTCCTCTTCATCAGTTCACAGATATAAGTTATGAACTGTTGGAAAAAATTGACAAAAAACATTTAACGATTGATAAAATTAAAGAAATGACTCACCAAGAAGTTGGTAAGTATTTTATGAACAAATTTTATTTAGAATATACTGAAAAATCATTAGATTATGCAATTTCTTTAGTGTTAAATGTAAAATGTTAACTTATGTGTTCATAGATAGGTTGTATTTTTAATGTAATGCTATAATGTATTTTATCATTAATAGACTTCAATTTTTGAAACATTTAAATAAAAGTGATAAATTAAATGAACAATAAGTAATTACTTAGATAATTTATTATGTAAGTAATTACTTATTGTGGCTTAAATCTCAGAATTAACTTACAGGTAACCCCCGTATAACACGGTAGTTACGTTCCAAAAAATTGCCGTGTTATGCGAATCCGTGTTATACGAAACAAAGAACTAATACGAAAAGGAGGGTTAGGTTCCAAAAATTAAAAACATTCTAGTATATTTTCATAATTAAGATAAATATCTTCATTAAAATTTTTTTAAGTGATACATATTAATATAAATTAAACAATGTTTTCTTCGTCATCACTAAAAACACTATTAATTAACCGAGAGCGTTTTCTTTTTGGCAAGTTATCCTTATCCTCTGAGCATTTTTCTGCATTATCTTCAGATCCATGCTTTACCTTTTGCAAAATGTATGTAATTTTAGATTGCTTGCTTCTAGTTAAAAGGTCTTTATAAATTTCCTTATATGGTGCTAAGCACTTATGAAGAATAAAGCAAGTATGGAATAAGGGAAAAACATTCGGCAACATCAGAAGCAGAAGCGTCGCGATCTGGCAACATTGAAACAAGTTTCGAGAAGAACCACGTGTATCGACAGAAGGCGAGAAGAGAAAATTTACATACTTAAGTACTAATAGTTCACAAAAATAATAATTTTCGTGAACTATTATTACTTAAGTATGTAAAAATTTATTACATTTCCTGTTGTACGAGGGTTTTACTCAATTCTCGAACCGTGTCAGAGTGAATCCGTGCTATAAAAGTACCGTGTTATATGGGGGATGGTACCAATTCTCAAACTGTGTCAGAGTGAATCCGTGCTATAAAAGTACCGTGTTATATGGGGGATGGTACCAATTCTCAAACCGCGTTAGAGCGAATCCGTGCTATAGAAGTGCCGTGTTATACGGGGGTTACCTGTATTTTTCAAATGGTTTATGAATAATATCATGTAAATGATTAAATTTTAATGAATTAAAATATCTTTTGAGTTATAGTATAGAAGGGAATTGTACTTTCATTAGAAGGACCAACTTACAATGTATTGCATTTAGTTTGGATTCCTTCTTTGTCTTTGAGTTGATTTTTTTTTTAATGTGTATGGGAAAAGGATGTATGAGCAATTTTTTGAATATGAAGACATGTCTTTGTGACAATGTAACATAGAGAACTATCCAAAACGAGACACTTTTGAATGTGTTATAAATAAATATTGTTATTTATAAAAATCTTTGTCTGATAAGTTCTTTAATATCAGATAATGGAATAGGTCTATTTGAAGCTTATGTTGGTATTATACTTTTTCATATTTTTGTTGAATGAACAGTTTTACTGATGTAAAAACACAAAACATTTTATCACTTTCATAACTGTAATGATTTCAGCAATTTATAAGTGGTTATTATATTTGAATTTTTACACACAGGTATAATACACAAAGCACATATAAACTAATATTTTGTATCACTGTTGTAAATCTGTCTCCATATAAAATATATCATAATATTTAATAGATATTTCAGTGATATATACTATTTAATTGTGAAATTTACTGAAATATTAATCAAAATTATTAAATTTTAAATTTGTAAAAGTTTTTAATACTTTAATTTTTGATTTATTTAGGCCATATGATTCAACATGTAAAAATGGGAATGACGATTAAGCAGTATGCGGAATCTATTCCTTCAGTAATGGTTGAGGCTGAAATTCAACCAATTACACGTACTGTTATAAGAGTAAAAATTGAAATTGTTCCAGATTTCAGATGGAATGATAGATTGCATGGGAGCACTGAACCATTCTGGTTATGGATAGAAGATCCAGATCATGATTATATTTATCATTCTGAATACTTTCTACTTTCTAAAAAGCAGGTTTGTGAAATATTTAACATTATTTGACTATTTATTATAATAAATTAGAATGTTAATATTTATTAATAATTATCTATAAAAATTGAAAGAAACTTATTAAATCATTTTACATCACAGATTATACTAATTTATACTGTAACACTATTTAATTCTTTAAAAATAAAATATTTAAATTCTCCTTCGAGTTAAAAGAAATTTTTTTATGTTGCAATTAAATTATTTGAATGTTTTGATAGGTTATTCGCAAAGAAACTCAACTCTTAGTGTGCACCATTCCTATCACTGAACCATTACCCACTCAGTATATGATACATATTACTTCTGATCGATGGATAGGATCAGAATATACGTTTCCAATTTCTTTTAAACATCTTATTCTACCAGATGATCATCCACCACTTACAGGTTTGTATTGCTCTCTAAATATAATTCTGAATTAAAATATTATTTCAAAATATTTTCGGTCAACAAACAATTAATTTTATTTCACTTTATTATTCATCTATGTTATAAATAAGTAACATACTGTCACATAACAAAGTTATTGATTGACTGATTGACTGACTGACACAGTCACTCATTGACTTGATATGACTTTCTACTGAAGTAGAAGCAGACATTTTGCAGTAAAATGAGGTATCCCATTTGAAAGAGGATATCAAGTACATTGACAGAAAAATTGAAATTTTGAAAAGGTAAAATATTTTGTACAAGAATTGTGTACAATTGCACAACCCTTCAACCCTTGATATTTCATAGAGGCATGGCATTTGAACTGTCAATTTAACTACTATCAGTCTATTTTTAAAGATGTTTATTACTATTAATTTGTTTTGCATTGTTTTAAATTGCTGCATTCTTTTCTCTTTCTATATTAAATTTTTAACTTATAATTTACAATTATTTAATTAATACATATAATATAATTTATATAAAGAATTATAAATTGTAACACGGGTGTAGCGTATCATGAAGTGACACGAAACATATTGGTCAGCTATTCTTATTTTAGGCACAAACACATGCATTTGCATGTGTTTGTACCTACATTGTCTCAAAGTCGTGTGATGCATATTTTAAGATTATTTTGAGAATAGTTCAAATTGAGTTGGGATAACTCAATTTACTATTGCATATTGTTTTTGATTGTCATTTTCAATGAATCAATTCAGTAAGCTATTCCAAATTGGTTTTGATTTCTTGAAATATATCTTAATAATTAATTTTTTGGTTAGAATCACTTAATATATGTACACAATGAAAGTTAGGTTTAACAGACAAAACATCCAGTTCCAGCATAGCAATAGGACAATTAATGTATTTTTGTCTTGGTTAAATAGACATTGCTTTCTGCGGACTGCAGACAAGAATTTCTGATTCCTTCTAGTTTTCAAAATCTCTTCAAAAAGTGAACAATATAATAGATTATGTGATTTTCATGAATATCAGTTAAAAAATATATTTTTCCTCAGTATCCTCATAGAATTTCTTCGTGTGCTTAAACTTGTCAAATAAAGTTTTCACTGTTCTGTTTTTCAGATTTCTCTTATATGTGAACCAAGACAATATAACAGTGTAAAAATAATACATGAAATTGAGACATAACTTATGCCATGAATTAAAAATGCTAGTTTAAATGTTAAAATGATGATCTATTCAGTTTTTACTGTTGCAAGATCTTGCAAAATACTTATTTGCAGTATGAAAAAACAAATAGAAAAATGTAACAATCAATATAACATAAGACTAAAGTATATCCAACAGTAAGTCATATGTGATTATTAACCAATTAAATTATTTCTAATTATTAAATTTTATATAAGGTGGTGTCATTATATATATCTTAAAATTATTTATAATAATTAATTTAAAAATTATAAAAAGTAATCCAAAATTTTAGCAATATTTTAAAATAATCATTTTTATCAGAGAAAGTACATTCTTGATTTTAAAAAATATGTATATTTTCTTAATCATAAAATGTTTCCATGATTGAAGTGATCATGACAATCAATCAATCAATCAATATTTATTTAGATACTAAAATAATACATACATGGTACTGCGTGGCATTGCCAAGTTACAGACATTACATTGTGATTACAAGTTGGAGGTTGACATATAGTAAGAGTAATGGCACATTTATGGGTTTGAATATAGTAAGTTACATTAAATTACAAAATGATAGTAGTGGCAAACTGGACAGGTGGCAACCTTATTCACCACCCCAAGTTAGTGAGTGGGCATTGATGTCACCAGCAAGAATGATATTGGTGTTATGAAATTTATCAATAACATTTTGATTTCCCTTAGTGTGGTGAAAAAAAGCAGACAAAGTTCAAAAGTTTGGACAACAATAACTTGTATTAAAATCCTCCAATTTTAAAAATAATTGTACTCACAGAGTGGTAATTTTCCTGCATCCAATGATATAACATAATACGCTAGGGCACTGGTTGTAACAATGAAAACACTTCCGAAATGCAGACCCAAAACATCACACATCTATCCACAGTCGTGACTTAAGCAAGCCTTAAATAGGATGACAGTATTCAATTTTGATTTATTTCCAACAACTTTTATTTCTTTACGTCAGGATTTTTTGATAGTCTTTACATCTATTGCAACTACAGCCATCAGTTAACTATTCTGTCATGCATTTGATTTACAGAAAAAGTTTAAAAAATGATTCTGAAACAATTGAAATGTTTAATTTTTGAAAACGTTTATTTTTTTAGAAATTTTTTCTAAATGAATAAACTCAATAAACACAAAAAGTAAGGGTTTAAAATCCATGCTGATTGAGAAACTTCAAATTCTTCAGATAGAATCAGTTTGGGATGCAGTTCTTATGTAGTTTAGTGGAATGAATAATCATAATTCTAGTTCTGTATACAAGACTAATGTAAAAATGTTTTATGAATAAGCTATATCAAATAAAATTATAAAAATAATTTATTAACTAGTTGCATCCAGCAAAATATTTGCAGTAAAACATTGTTTAAGTTACAAATAAATAGGAAAAATAAAGAAGCAAATAAATCTGTTTACATAAAACTAATAAAATTTCTCAGTACACAGCATTAGTACTTTAACAAAGTGAAAGTATATTTTACCATAGTATATTCTATATAGAGAGATTTGATTATGTATTTGCTCAATTCTAACAAAGACTAATAATAACTCATGTCCTTATGTTCCCTGAACATATGACCTTTGTTTCTCTGAGAATGTTTGAATAACCATGTAAATACCTTCACAGTTGATTTGCATGAAGAAATGAGTACCTAAGTTAATGACATTTAACCAAATATAGTTTTTCATATCTTCTTTGCTTAGGCACCATTTTATTCAAAAGAAATGACATCATCCTCATGATCAAAATTTTACAATAGTCTTTCCACTAATAACATAAAATTAAAAAAATAATTGGGAATGAATGAAAAGTTATTTTCAGAATCGTTTTTATACTGGTTACCTCCCTCCAATATAAAAACACCAGATTGTAGTAGCCAAAATTCAGTAGCCAGAATGGCAGGAAGAGCACAATTGGACACATTTTTGCTTCTATCAATAATTACTTTAAATAAAATTAAACAGTAAAATAAATGCAAGGTGGCTCTTCTACATTAAATAAGCTTCAAAATGATGTATAAAATGTTAATGTAATTCTTTCACTGTAAGTTAAAAAATTGGTAATAGATTTTATCTTAGCATATTCTGTATATATAGATAAGTTCATAATTTTATTTGAAAATTAACACATTTGAAATACATTTGTAATACATTTGAAAATTTTTATCATATTATTATTTTTTTGTTTAGAACTTTTGGATCTTCAACCTCTTCCTGTTTCAGCCTTGGATGACATTTATTTTGAATCTGTGTATAAATTCACTCATTTTAATCCCGTACAAACACAGATATTTCATACATTATATCATACTGATGTTAATGTATTGCTAGGAGCTCCTACTGGATCTGGAAAAACTATTGCAGCTGAAATTGCCATGTTTCGACTATTTCAAAATTATCCTGGTACAAAGGTATGCTTGCTCGGTTCTCTTGTTTTTCATTTTTTTCAAAATATTTGCTTAAAAAATATTCTTGAAATATATATATATATATAATAAATACATAAATATTTTAACTACCAAGAAATATCTTCAGTATTTTNACTTCTCCAAGAAATATCTTCAGTATTTTTAAAATTTTATATTTATTTCAAACCATTTTGTATATTAATAATTTTCCAAATTCACATGATACTTTATGTATATATATATATATTTTAGTCATAAAATTACTACATTATTTTTAATAATAATTTTAAAAAATTTATTTTTGATGTTATGTATATTGGGTGATCATAATACTGATATTCAATACTGTCTAGAGAGATATTTAGCACTCTAAATATAAAAAAATCCAACGACGAGTTGTTTAACTTTCCCAACAACATTTAAAATATCAGTGGTGCCATCTGTTATCATATTTTATTAAAAGAAACTTTTTATAGTTTTAACTATTACAAATGGCAAAAAAGGATTTTATAAAAAATTGTAAATGCTAATAACGAGTAAAATTGTCATTAAGTCCGACCCTACCAGAGATACACATGACCCCCTTTATCTCCCTTGACCTTTAATCACCTAAATTTAATAGCATAAATTCCCCTAATAAACAAACCTCCCTGCAAAATTTCAGAAATTTTTGACAAAAAGCACAGGTTTTATTAAGCTTCAAAGAGGGTGAACAAAATTGAACCCCACACAAACACACACAAACATCAGTACATACAGAAAAAACCCCAAAGTTTTTTGCATATCTCGACATTTCAAGATGTCCTAAGTCCAAAAATATAAAAATCTTGGGGGGGCCATTTTTTGTCCAATTGCCATACTTTCCCTCTGGTATAGCAGCACTTTAAGATTAGCCAAAGACATTTCCATAAAAAAAATTAGTACCAAAACATACCACTCGGGCACTTTTGTCCCTGAAGGTAATGAAAAAGCAGTTTCATATGTGGAAACACTTAAAAAGTATGATTTATTGAGAACATGTTGCAAATTTGTCTCGAAAGACAGCATCACACTAAAAATAAAAACTATCAAAGGGTCAGTTATGGTTGGCCATCAAACGCATCATTTATTGCTTTCAGGTTTTTACTCTTCAGAATGGGGATCACATTGAACAGAACCTCTGCACTGATAAAGTCTCTGTATAGCACACGTGTCCTGTACAAATAAAATGTTTGTTGCTTATTACAACAAAAACTGCCACAGTGATGAGTTTTGGTACTAATTTTTTATTCTTTCTGAAATTTACCATACTAGATTTGGTTGCATTTGGAATGCTAAATCTCTCTAGACAGTATCAAATAGGGGTACTTTAATTACAACTAATCTGTGTTATTCATTGTTAATTAATATGAAACTATTTGCTTTTTGATTTAGACTGTGTATATTGCACCTTTAAAAGCTCTTGTGAGAGAGAGAATAAAAGATTGGCAAATAAGATTTGAACGGCAATTAGGCAGAAGGTAAGATTATTTTTAATATTTTAACATTGGTTAATAATTAGTATAAAATAATAGTACAGTGACTGTCTTTGAGATAGTTTTATAATATGTTTGAAATTGTTCTATTATGTTAAAGAATTTTAGAATTTCTAAATTATATTTTTAGTGAAATTTTTTATTGCATAACTGAATATTTATCTAATTAATCATTCAATATTTATTTATTTCTATTAATGATATCAATTAGCAAAACAATTTAACCATCTTATTTTCATTTTTTAACATTTTGTTAAACAAAATTGTATTAAAGTAAAATTAATTTTAATTTAATACATTACTAGCAGGAAAATTCTGTTATTTTTTTTTCTTGTTTAGAAATATATTAAGTAAGTTTCTAAAATAAAGAATTGTTTTTAATATTTTGTAAATTGTTTAGTGAAACCAAATTTGAAATGTTCATATATATCCACATTAGGATGTCTGCATAAAATTTGTGAACTATTTATTTTGCATTTGCAATACAGTTGACTCCCCTTATAACGTGGGTTCCTATAACGGAAATTCCTATAACGTAGCGAAAAAACTGTAGCAATATTTGTATAAAGGAACTCCTAAAACGTTGTCTCCGACTCGTGCCGCGACAAGATTGATAGAATCTGGACCAATAGTAGATGAGCAGCCGAACTACTTTCCTCCGCCCTGCGCCACGCTACAAAGAGTTTAGGCAACTAAATTGAGTTTGCTATCATCTGTACAGTATTATATATAAATTATATATAAATNTTGATCACATTGAAAATAGTTCATTTGACTGGATGTAAAAATTCTCTAATTAGTCTGGAAACGGGGGACCTAATTCTTGCATTCTGTGAAAACGGGAAAGATTAGCTATAATGTAATTATCTTAATCTTCACTATCATTACTTTTTGCCCAGCGAAGCATGTCCTTACAGTTAGATTCTAGATTACTTAGAAAAACAGTGTTTTATATATAAAAAAACTATATTACATACAAATAAAAACCCAGCGAAGCGGGTCCTTGCAGCTAGTAAGTATTATAAATGTAAAATTTGATTTAATTATTTAACAGGTGAAGATCGTGGGCCTGTGTTAGAAGTAATTGTATCTCGAACTAATTTCATATCTGCTCATACGGAAAGGAAAATTCGAATAATTGGCCTGTCGACGGCTTTGGCAAATGCCGGAGATTTGGGTGAATGGTTGGGTATTAAACAGGTAAAATGAAATGAATGAATTTATGCTCTAATATATTTTAAAATAATTCTTTGCTCTTTATACTTTTCATATAGTCTTTAAGTAATCTTATTTTAGTTTGTAATGTTTTTTTATTTTAATGTGCTTAATTTTTATTATATACTGATTTGTACTACTAATGGTTATGTAATTATCGATGATCTAGATATAAATGCTATTAACATGTTGACTACCAGATCAAAATTAATAAAAATTCCCTAGAGCCACAGATTTTTTGCAGTTTTGATAAAGCAAGGATGCCCAACCCACGGCCCACTGCACCCTAAAATTTTTAGGTACATTTTCATTTCTTTTGATAAAGAATACAGTAGAGTGTTGTTTATCTGAATCAATTGGGGACTGGGATTGCTCGGATAACTTATTTTTCAGATAACCGATTATGTGGGAAAAAATATATTAACTTATCCCATGTTGAAATTTTTCTCTGTTGCATGTTGCTTTGCATTGAATTTTTGTCAGTTTTTTTAAAACTTCAAATTTTTAAAAATTTATGTTAGGCTAACATAAATTAAAAAAAAAAAAATAATTGTGGCTATTGTATCATTAAAAATTATTTCTTTATTTTGTACAAACAAAATAAATATATTGAAAAATATAAAAACAAAAAAATTATACTTTAGAAGTTAATCTGGTGTCAAAAACGTTCAATTCAGCATGGCATAGTCCGACTGGTTAACCGACAATTCAGTTGATTGGGCTTTCAGATAAATGACGCTCTACTGTATTGTAAAAATTATTCTAGTTTCACTGGATACATTTTTTGATGTGCTAATGAGGTAATTGGTGCTAGAAAACTGTAATAACCCACATGATTAACATACTGTTGTGACCAATTCTTTTCGCACATGAAAAACATCAAAACTGCTGAAAGAAATAGGTTGAATGATTCCCATTTAACTAACATTCTTAGAATTAAGACTAGTACCATGAAAGCAGATACAGTAGAACCTCGAAAACTCAGCCTAATGTGGACCGAAGAGTGGCCGAGTTTGTGAAAATGCCGGGTTATCGGGAATGGGGTTGAAAAAATAAGTTCGAGTGTTTTCTCAGAAAATACTGTACTGTACTTGTATTTATTGTTTACTTGAGATTATAACAGATAATAAACTGCCCAAATACCCTTAAACAAAGGAAAAGTACGTTTTTTATGAAGGCATAGAGCCTTTACTACATGAAAATGAAAATTAATGAATACACTGTGTACAGTAATTTACCTGATAAGACAGATCTCAGAAAAATACTTTATAAGAGCTTTTATACTTTTATAAAGCTGTCTATAATGAAAATTAATTAACTAAGGATTTTTTCGCCCTNGTGTAGAATTTGTGTTAAATTTATTATCCTTTCCTCTTTATTCTGATGTTAGTTATCTCGGTTAACTGCGTCGAACTTTCCTTCATTAAAACACCACGCTATTGTATTGTCTCACGTGATTACCAGACGAACTGTTATTGGCTGATAGAAATGTCTTGGCGTGTCTTGGAGGCAGTTGCAGCAAAAGATAAAATTCAAACAACTTTTGCAGCACGAGAAAAGCGGCACAAAATAGACTTCTGCGGGGAGAAAAAGTGACGTCATCCTGCCGCTTTTCCTTGCCGCGCGGCACGTGTTCATCCGGCTTTAGAGTATTGTACTGTACGTCACGAGAACGCACACTAACAAGGGATTTTTTGAAATTTCCCCGCGGGGAAAGTGATAGGATTAAGGCTTCAACAATGGAAGTGTTAAGTAACAATGGAATTGTTAAGAATGGATGTGTTAAGAGAAAGTAACGTGCAAGATGTAAATCTTGCATGTTACTTGGCGCAGATGCGGTTTTTTGCGATAAATCGAACATAATTTTAGACCGACCCAAGTAAAAATTATCTAATTAGTCTGGAAACGGGGGACCTAATTCTTGCATTCTGTGAAAACGGGAAAGATTAGCTATAATGTAATTATCTTAATCTTCACTATCATTACTTTTTGCCCAGCGAAGCATGTCCTTACAGTTAGATTCTAGATTACTTAGAAAAACAGTGTTTTATATATAAAAAAACTATATTACATACAAATAAAAACCCAGCGAAGCGGGTCCTTGCAGCTAGTAAGTATTATAAATGTAAAATTTGATTTAATTATTTAACAGGTGAAGATCGTGGGCCTGTGTTAGAAGTAATTGTATCTCGAACTAATTTCATATCTGCTCATACGGAAAGGAAAATTCGAATAATTGGCCTGTCGACGGCTTTGGCAAATGCCGGAGATTTGGGTGAATGGTTGGGTATTAAACAGGTAAAATGAAATGAATGAATTTATGCTCTAATATATTTTAAAATAATTCTTTGCTCTTTATACTTTTCATATAGTCTTTAAGTAATCTTATTTTAGTTTGTAATGTTTTTTTATTTTAATGTGCTTAATTTTTATTATATACTGATTTGTACTACTAATGGTTATGTAATTATCGATGATCTAGATATAAATGCTATTAACATGTTGACTACCAGATCAAAATTAATAAAAATTCCCTAGAGCCACAGATTTTTTGCAGTTTTGATAAAGCAAGGATGCCCAACCCACGGCCCACTGCACCCTAAAATTTTTAGGTACATTTTCATTTCTTTTGATAAAGAATACAGTAGAGTGTTGTTTATCTGAATCAATTGGGGACTGGGATTGCTCGGATAACTTATTTTTCAGATAACCGATTATGTGGGAAAAAATATATTAACTTATCCCATGTTGAAATTTTTCTCTGTTGCATGTTGCTTTGCATTGAATTTTTGTCAGTTTTTTTAAAACTTCAAATTTTTAAAAATTTATGTTAGGCTAACATAAATTAAAAAAAAAATAATAATTGTGGCTATTGTATCATTAAAAATTATTTCTTTATTTTGTACAAACAAAATAAATATATTGAAAAATATAAAAACAAAAAAATTATACTTTAGAAGTTAATCTGGTGTCAAAAACGTTCAATTCAGCATGGCATAGTCCGACTGGTTAACCGACAATTCAGTTGATTGGGCTTTCAGATAAATGACGCTCTACTGTATTGTAAAAATTATTCTAGTTTCACTGGATACATTTTTTGATGTGCTAATGAGGTAATTGGTGCTAGAAAACTGTAATAACCCACATGATTAACATACTGTTGTGACCAATTCTTTTCGCACATGAAAAACATCAAAACTGCTGAAAGAAATAGGTTGAATGATTCCCATTTAACTAACATTCTTAGAATTAAGACTAGTACCATGAAAGCAGATACAGTAGAACCTCGAAAACTCAGCCTAATGTGGACCGAAGAGTGGCCGAGTTTGTGAAAATGCCGGGTTATCGGGAATGGGGTTGAAAAAATAAGTTCGAGTGTTTTCTCAGAAAATACTGTACTGTACTTGTATTTATTGTTTACTTGAGATTATAACAGATAATAAACTGCCCAAATACCCTTAAACAAAGGAAAAGTACGTTTTTTATGAAGGCATAGAGCCTTTACTACATGAAAATGAAAATTAATGAATACACTGTGTACAGTAATTTACCTGATAAGACAGATCTCAGAAAAATACTTTATAAGAGCTTTTATACTTTTATAAAGCTGTCTATAATGAAAATTAATTAACTAAGGAGTTTTTTGCCCTGCCAGGGTGTGGCCGAGTTATCCGGAGTGCCGGGTTATCGAGAGCCGAGTTTTCGAGGTTCTACTGTATTGACAATATTATAAAAGGAAGGCAATGTCAAAACTTGCATTGAATTTATTATTTTTTTTTTTGTATGAGTATAATTTTTTTACTGTCAATAATACAGTATTTTATGTAATTATTATATATTTGTTATTAAAATTTGATATTCATATTTTGAACTTGTTAACTTGTTAAAAGCATATATTTATATAAAGTACCTTTGTGGCCCACTGAATATACGTAAATTTCTAATTTGGCCCATTAGGAAAAAAGGTTGGATTGTGTAAACCATTAGCTCTGAAACATACAAATACTTCCAAAACAATCCATAATGTAATTTAAAATATTTTTAGATAAAGACTACTTGTATTGTTTAACATACTAATACTAATAATTATATAATTGTTTGTAATCCAAAGCTAAAACTATATTCGTAATTAATATTTTAAATTTTCTTACAAGTTGTTTTTGCATGTTTTATTTAATTGGAAATGTTTTTATTCTCTAATGATACTTATATTTACATTATGAATACAATAAACTTTATGGGACAAAAATTATGGGATAATTAATAAAAGTCATGATTATAAATCAATAGATTTCACTTTAGTAATTTTAATGTTGATGTATTTACCGATTAAACTTGATTACATTTGATACACATTGAACATTTGGATTTAACGCATCTTCCATTTAGTTTAAAAGTAATTGAGTCAAATTAGATATTATTGTTACATTATGAGTTATACAATATTGATAAAATTACAAGTATAGAAAATAATATTGGTGATTATTCGTTTATTTATTTATTTTTAATAGTTGGGATTATATAACTTTCGACCTTCCGTTCGGCCGGTTCCCTTAGAAGTTCACATTTCTGGATATCCTGGTAAACATTATTGTCCTCGTATGGCCCTCATGAATAAACCTACATATCAAGGTATAATTTAAAGTTTTATTTTAAAGTTTGTTTAAGTGTTTAATAAGATAATCGTTATAAAATGAATTATTATAATTCCTGTAGAAAACTTATATATATATATTGACAGGTGCCCATCAAATGCAGGTGGGCTCGTTTTTCCCATAAGTTCTGACTTTTGTCCTGTCTGAACTAAACACTTATATATATATCTAAAATTTTTTTGCATATTCTAGTGCAGAATTATCTTACGAATCTAATGGCGTATAAATTTTTATATATATACATACAGTGAAAACTGCTTAGGCGACCACCTGCATTTGATGGGCACCTGTCAAAATGGACAAAAATTTCTGGCACAGAATAGTTTATACATACAGTCTTCGTATAAGTTACCTGTATTAAACGACCACCTGTGTAACGCGTCCGCGGGCATCAATTTTTGGTCTGAAACAACATACAACACCTGTAATAAGCGACCACTTTTGCGAATGTATCTGGTCTAAACTATTGTAAGAACCCATCTCAACAATGTTTCCACCTCCTAATATAATGAATTAGTCTAAACTCTCGTTGGAACCCATCCCGGGCACTTCTCCCATCCTTGAAATTAGGTGCAGGTGTTAATAAATTAGTCTAGCAACAAAGGAAATTCGTTTCAGTTTGTTGTAAAATGTCCAAAATGCAAAGTGCTGTCGTTAGAAGATCATATTAAAGTTATCACAACAGCAATTAGCGGCGAAGTTTAACTGTGAGAAAACAAAATTTATTTTACCCTAGACCTACAGTATTTTCCTTGGGGGTGTAAAATATTGTACACGATACAATTAATCAGCTGATCTCATCATTTGATAAAATCTATTTTTATTTATTTATTTTGAAGCTCATATACAGTACACGTGTGATGAATAGTTTCTGTATCAACCTACCTTATTTCCATGATATTTTTAGAAAAAATAATATCCAAGTAATTTTCGCAGGCAAAATATTCAAAAAACAATAAACGCATTAATGCAAAAATCAGTTTTACTTCCTTTTTCGATTCTGCGATTGTAATGAAATCATATAACGAGAAATAATAATAAAATCGTTTTATTATTAATTAATAATTTTTCTTATTGTACTTAATTAATTAATGTCAGAAAATGAAGCAAATAAACGTATCTTACGATGTACAGAAATACACAGTTATATGTAACATGACTAAAAGCAGAAGGAGAGGGGAGACACGTGCTCCACAGGGACGTAGCAAACCAAACAAAGAAAGTGACCTTTGACCAAAAGTATGTGAAACTCGCCAACGTAGCGCCGTCTAGTACAATATATGTCTCAGTGACTTAGCACACAGGGATTACATTTTTACTTTCTTTCACACTCCCTCTATCACTGTGTGCTACATACATAACAATGATCAATTATTTCAATTTAATCTTAACATTTTCTCAGTCTTCCGCGTTCTTCCGTTCTTTGAATTTTTGGACGATTTTGTTTTTGTTGGCCCATACGACTTTCCTCTAGAATTTCTTGTTGTTCTTCTTCTAGATATTTGTCCACATTAGATTCATTATCGGACTCTTCATCTAGTTTTGTATTGTCCTCACTGTTCATCTCTGTTGTCGGACTTAGCGGCATTATATACATGTCGTTTGGTGTTTTGTCAGCAAAATCTGGCTCAGTGGAGATACTCTTCAGAAAAGTGTTACTTGTGTGGATTGTTTCAACAAATCTCACGTCACGTGCTATGATGACAGTCTTAGTGCCTGGTTTCCAGAGTCGATACGCTTTTGACTCATTTGAGTATCCGACCAACCCATACTCATCACCTTTTGGATAAAATTTCCCTCGTCTTCGAGTCTTGTCCAGCACTATAGATTTACTTCCAATAATTTAAAGAAACCAACATAAGGTTTACACTTGAACCATAGCTCATTCAGTGTTTTCCCATCGAGGGCTTTTGTCGAACTTCTATTTCATAGAAATGTGGCCGTATTAATTGCTTCTGTCTGTAGTGACTGAGGTAGACCTACTTGCAACATTATACACCTTGCCATTTCAACAAGTGTCCGATTTGCACGTTCTGCTACACCATTTTGTTGTTGTATGATTCTTTTTCTTCAAGAAAGTTGTTAAATTCGTTTGATAAATATTCTTTACCATTATCCGTACATAGCTTTTTGATTCGATGACCTGTTTGTTTTTTGACTCTTCGTTTATAAGATTTAAACGCTTGGAAAATGTCTGAGCGACTTTTTAGCATTATAGTTTCCATATAGCATGTACAGTCATCAATAAACGTTGCAAAGTACAGTGGTACCTCGGTATACATCTGCTTTAGAATACGTCCAATTCAGAATACGTCCTGTTTAGACGAAACAAATTTTGCTTGGTATACGACTTTTGTTCGGTATACGACTTAATTATATGCGCCATCTATGAACAAGTAGCACTATCAGTGTACTAGACCAGACTAGACGTTCGCGGTGCCACAGTTTATAACTTTGTTAAATTTCTTCTGATTTTAATTTGTAAGTAAAATTTTATTATTTTTATTAATCATGAATTGCAAAAAGGCAAATGGGAAGCAACAGAAAACTAAAAAATGACTAGAATCACAATGGAACTGAAAAAAGAGATTGTTGAGAAATATGAAGGTGGAACACATGTTCAAGATTTTAACTGTTGCATATCACATTCCGAGAACAACGATATCGACAATCGTGAAAAATAAAGACATTATTAAATCTGCTAACATTGCGAAAGGGGTTAAATCAATTTCTAAACAGAGATCGAAGACATTAGATCATGTTGAGAAATTGCTTTTGCTTTGGATAACTGAAAAACAGTGTGCTGGTGACAGCGTGTCAGAAGCAATTATTTGCGAGAAAGCTAAAAAGATACATGCTGATCTCATGAAAAATCGAACAGGAACTAGCCAGGAAAGTGAGGTGTTAAAGCCAGCCATTTTTTTTTTTTACATGAGATCGGATTAATCATTTTTACATTACTTCTTATGGGAAAGGTTGGTTTGGTATATGTCCTATTCGGTATAAGTCCAAACATCAGGAACGGATTAAGGTTTTATACTGAGGTTCCACTGTATTTTGCATCTCCTAATGAGATGGTTTTCATCGGGCCACATATATCGGAATGCACTAAACCCAAAATCTCTTTCTCTCAATGATGCGACTTCTTAAACGGTTGAACATATATTTTAGATTTCACAGTTTAGTTATCTTGCTTTCATTGAAAGGTCCATACCTTCGACTAGTTGTTCTATTTTCATTTTTCTTAGATCGTTAATGTTTATATGCCCATATCTTTGCTGTCACTTTAATAGGTTTTCGTCAGCAGTTTCTGCTGAAAACATCGTTTGGTCTTCCAATTCATTGACAACATATAGATTATCACGTTTCGTAGCTGTTAACATCGTAGTACCATCTTTACGTTTGATGATTGCATAATTTTCCTTAAATACAACAATGTATCCTTTGTCAGTGATACTTGCTACCGATAAAAGGTTGTGGCGCAATTCCGGTACATATAATACGTTTTGTAGTTTTATAGAACTTATTGCTCGTTGATTTACTTTCAAGCTGAGATTCCCATCACCTATACCAACTGCTTGCACATAATTCTCTGTGGCAGTATAAACTTTAGACTGTTTAATTTGATCTAGAATTAAGAATTTGTATTGGTCATTACACATATGTCTTGTCGCACCACTGTCTAAATACCACTTTTTCGATCCGTTTGTGAATTCCACGTTGCATGCGATTGTAGTAAGAGCACCGCTAGTAACTTTCACGTCTGTGTGTTTTGTTTTCAATTTACAATTTCTACTGATATGTCCAGTTTTACCGCAGCTGTAGCATCTTCCGTCAAATCTTTGGCTTCTAAATCTTGTATTATTTTTCCTCGAGTTCGTTCATGACTGCTTTACACAGTCGGACTTTCCCTTTGAAAGCAATGCGTCACTTCTCTCGTTCTCAGTTAGCTTCATAACACGCTCCCTCTGTCTTGCTTCCTCTTCCTTTAATTTTGCTTTGAGGTTTTCGAGCGACGGTATGTCATCACGTGACCCTATGGCTACACTAAAATTTTCATATTCATCTGGCAGTGATCCGAGGAGCATAATCGATAGTAATTCTTCTGGAATTTCTATTCCAGCTTCCTTCAGTTGATCAGCTTTACTCGTGAACTCGTTTATATACTGCGTAATCGTCACATTCTGTTCTTTTTCCATTCATTGTAACTGTTTGTACAATGTTGCCTTTCTAACAGGACCCCGTGACTGGAATATTGCCTTAAATCCGTCCCACACTTCTTAAGACATTTTGGCATTTTTCACATGGTTCAACTGCCCAAGACAAAGGCTTAGATTTATCAGCGTCAACGCCTTTGCGTCTTGCTTGATCCATTCCTCTGGATTTCTTTCTGGTTTTATTTCAGTACCGTCAACGTATTTCCACAGATCTTTATATATGAGAACACTTCTCATCTGTATTTTCCAAAGTTCGTAATTGTCCTCATTCAACTTCTCAATATTTGAGAATCCACTAGGACCCGCCATACTGAATTAGATAATAGATCTGTTTACTTACTTCTTACATTAGATATTCTTTCCTTGTAAGCAGTCCTGGGCCCATAACCTATCAGAAAATGAAGCAAATAAACATATCTTACGATGTACAGAAATACACAGTTATATGTAACACGACTACAAGCAGAAGGAGAGGGGAGACACATGCTACACAGGAACGTAGCAAACCAAATAAATAAGGTGACCTTTGACCAAAAGTATGTGAAACTCGCCAACATAGCGCCGTCTAGTACAATATATGTCTTAGTGACTTAGCACACAGGGATTACATTTTTACTTTCTTTCACAATTAAGAAAATATTAAATATTAAAAAAATACAGTATTTTTAAAGTTAAAATAAGATTAAACTAACGAAAACCAAAAGCAAAGTGATGGAGAGATAGGACGTGCTTGTATATTGATAACGTAATACACGTAACTGAGGAGCAAACGAAAAGAACCGAATTGAATTAATTAAGTTGGAAAAAAGAAAGTGTGCATTATAATTGAGAAAATGCGAGTATTGTATTAATCTTTAAAATATTGGTGTTAAATCTGTCTTATAATATCATGACGACTCCTGTAAATTGGGTTATCCAATAAGAATAAAATACAATACCAATATAGCCCTATTGTTGAAAAAATTTGTTTATTTTTGCTCACCTCGAGTTTTGCTTAGTAGAAATGGCTAAAAAGTGCACAAAATACATATGGAAATATGGTATTACAGCACCACCCGTGTTGGATGACAACCTGTGTAAAAGACCACTTTTTGAAGGAATCATGGGTGGTCGCCATAGACAGGTTTTACTGTATATAAGTTTTGGACTTTCATCAATACAGATTGGTTAACGAACAGATCGGTTAACGAACAAATCAGATAACGAACACTTTCACGAAAGATTTTTATGATCAGACAATGAACACATGTTCGGATAACGAACACTTCACTGAACAAACACAAGAAGCGACATAAAATAACAAATACCGATTGGTCTTCCTTTGTCTTCAGGCAACAATTAGAAACTTTTCGGAGTGCGGGAGACGTTGACATCGACGTTCTACCCAGTATATACTGATCGGATAGTATTCCCCCAAACTTTGAAACTCTCCCTTGTAATTCCAGCCTTTTGTATTTCTGACAGAAACAATTCTTTTACGTTTTCTTCTGAAAATGCGGATTTATGCTGATATCTGCTATTAATTAAAGATTTTTTGAAGAAGTAGGAGGATGTCAGAACAACAGTCTTAAAATGGCATCCAAATCAAGTTGAGGTTAATAGGCCTAGGGATCTCTACAATTACAATGCTATTAATTACTTCTGAAAAGTCATGAATAAGACAGAAAAGCAATCGACATTGGACCGATTCTTTAACCCCCACAAATGGAAAAAACATGACTAATGAAAATGCAAGACTGTGTATATATGTATTTTTATTATTACATATGAATAAACGTAGTAAGAAAGTATATACTTTTTTATTTTTGGGGGGTCTCCAGAATGAATTAATAAAATTCCTGTAGAAACCTATGGTAAATCGATAATCGGTTAACGAACAATTCGGATAGCGAACAAAGTCTTGGAACGGATTATGTTCGTTAACCAATCACCTACTGTATAAACATAAACATATCAAAATTAAAAATTTGAACTCTTAACAAGATTTTTTTAAATTACATTATTATAAAATTAATTTATACAGTTAATTTAACTGTATAGTTTGTTAAATTATTTAATTATAAAACAAGATAAAATTATTCACATAATTAATCTTGTTATAATTGTATTTTTAGAATATTTGAAAAAATATGAATGCATATATTCTATTTTTTATATTTTAATATAAAAAACAATATAATTTCATTAAAGATATTAAATGTAACATAGCAAAATCATTTTTTATAACATGATTTTAACTGAAGACAAATTCCTTGCATTTTGATATATGATTATAATGCATGCATGTCAAATTATTATATTAATATGTCATTTGATTTATTTTAATTTATCAAATATCAAACAAAATTTAAATAAAAATTATTTGGTATTTTCGTGCAAGATATTTACAAAATTTAGCCAGTCTAGTTGATAAACTTGAAAAAATTAACGTTGATTGTAAATTTTTGGATTACAATATTTAAATAATTTATTTATTATTTGTTTGAAAATACAGTAGAGCATCGATTATCCGAATCAATTGGGGACTGGGGTTGTTCGGAAGATCGATGTTTTGGATAACCGATTATGTACGAAAAAATATATTAATTTATCCCATGTTGAAATTTTTCTCCGTTGCGTGTCGCTTTGCATTGAATTTTCGTTGATGTTAAGCCTAACGAAGACTATTATATCGTTAAAAATTATTTTTTTATTTTGTACAAACAAAATAAATATATTGAAAAATATAAAAACAATAAAAAATTATACTTCAGAAGTTAATTTAGTATCAAAAACGTAAAATATTTGAGTAGCCGAAGACATAGCCAAAGATTACAGCGCCACAGCACTGGCGAAAATTTAAATTTGTCGACTGGAATTCCTTCGGATAACCGACGTTTCGGATAACCGACCTTCGGATAAACGATGCTCTACTGTATTT